ATACTAGTCCGCAGTCCGCAGCACTTGAGTCAGTCACGTGACTCATAGTGGCTTGTGGCTATTGGTTGTTCTGTTACGCTGATTACGTAATCCTCACTAAGGTACCCTGATTACGTAATCCTTACTAAGTCATTGGTTACGTAAGTCCACTTAGGTTTTGTGCGGCTCCAAATCTTATAGGAGCCGCGCTTAGTCTTAGGTCACGTGACTTCTTCTCAGGGTGGTCACGTGATATGACGATTACGTAACTCGCGGGTCGCAGGTGCATTACATGGGAGAGATTACCACCCGCGAGTTAGATAACCACCGTCACGTGATGTAACGGTAATGGGTAACGGTCACATGACAGTCAGGTCATGTGACTTTGAAAGTACTTTGTTTGTCTTCGGGAAAAATGTAGTAAATCGTAGATTTATTCCCTGATTACGTTATGACTGTCACGTGGGTCATAACATCCATGACTTGAAGAACATAAGAGAAATAGTCCATTATAAAATAGTAGAAAATCAAGAATAAATCCGTGTCCTGACGTTGGGTCATGACAGTGGCGGGGCGTGGACGTTGAGATACCAGAGTGTGCTGATTCATAACGGCTGGGAATGTGAAGAACCATCAGTAAGCACCATAACAAACCAAGCACTGAGATTCAAACTCAGTCTTGCCCGTTGTGGCCCAACCCAATCGCCTCGCTCTTGCTCGGAACCGGTACGCTGGTCACAATCTCTCGGCTCATATGTTGGCGCAACATCCCCTCTGCGCTCGTCGGGGCAGTCGAAGCCTCGCTCAATGCTTTTCCAATCCTTCCGCCTGGAGTCCTAGGGGTTATTGCACCCGCCTGCGTCACTAGTCAACTATCTATAGCTTTTGCTGGTATGGTATAGCTTACCTGGGCCCTCGGTGTCATTGTTTCAATAGTTTTCGGCGTCAACGGAATATTCGCCGTATAGGGTATCCCCTGCTTGAGGTGTCCTGTCTTGCCAATTTGCAAACTTGTCTTTGTGGTGTTGATTAGGGGTCTTGGGTGTGGTTGGCATAAGTGGGGTATTGACGCGCTGGCGCAACGCCCAAGGCGTAGCAGGAGACTTAGGGGGAACGGGCGGGGGAGGGGGCGAGCGCAAGCCTTGGGAATAGGTATCAGAGCCTTGAGTATAGATACCTGAGTCTTTGGTATGGGAGGCGAGAGCGACGGGGATGTAAGTGCTTGAGCTTTGGGTGTACGTCCCGGACCCTTGAGTATAGGTCGTGGTATCTTGAGTATACGCCCCAGAGGGCTGGTAAGTCTGCGACCTGCGTCCGTGTGTACTCGGTCCTTGGCTAAATCCACCCTCCAATTGTCCTTGGGTAGGCATCACCGCTCGCTCTGGGGAATAGGTACCCTCCGAGCAACTTCCAGCAGCACTCACACTCACACTTCCACTCCCCCCGGTGCCCGTGAATGTCCTCGTGAACGTTGACAAGCTCGTTCTCATCTTCCCAGGCATTGGCCCAAACAATCCCGACCCATTGCTACTCCTTGGTTTGACCGCAGCGGCCGCACCCATGCCAGATGTGGTGCTAACAAAACTCGCCTCGCTCTTGGTGGGACTAACCGGTCGACCAGTCCCAGAAGCACCTGATTTGAAGAACGCGATGAGTTCGCCGGCGCGACGGCCCATTGACGCGCTGGGATGATGGTTTAGTGACTTAATGGATTCTTTTTCTTTAAGTCCAAGCGGTGAGGGCTTGGTTGTTTTTGGAGGGAGGAGCGGCGGAAAGAGGGAGATCGGCTGAGTAGCGCTGGGGCTGCTGGGAGGCAGGTACAAGCCATGAGTTGAGGGCAACAAGAGGGAACATGCGTTGCTCAAGCCGCACATGTGTGAGCCGGAGCGGCAAGTACTTCAAGAAACATCACTTCCTGTACGTACAACAAAAATTAATCATTTTTAGTAACAGAGCGCCAGACAAAAAAAATGAGTTTTAAAACAAACCTGGTTCTTGAAGTCAGGTCTGTACAATAGAATGCACATATATTCGACACAGGGCTTATTTGTAGACAAGACTTCATGAGCTAGAGAGACGTGTCACAGACATACTGGACAGGCCTATGCAGCGTTGGGAGGTGGCAAAGGCCGTGATGTGATGTTTATTTGGGGGGTGTTTATTTAGGGAGATGCTACAGAAAACTCCACAAACTACAGAGACGCGTCACAGACATACTGGACAGGCCTATGCAGCGTTGGGAGGGAGGCAGCAAAAGCCATGACATGTGGTGGTGGAAAGCAGTGAACGAACATTTGCCATCACAACACGGTCATGTGACCTGGTTGATCAGGGTCTACCCCCCAAGAGAGTAGCATGCTAAGTAGATCACTCACGAGCTTTCATTGGCAGAGCCGAGTAGACGTGCAGCCCTTGGTAACTCAGCTGGAAGAGCGCAAGACTGTAACTGGAAATCAATCATCTTGAGGCCATCAGTTCAATTCTGATTCAAGGGAGATTTTTTTACTCGTATGTTTTGCTGCTTCTGTAGAACCTTATTCTCCTCAAGGTTGAGTGAGGGTTGAAACAGGCGCTTGTCAACTAGAGAATCAAGGTGTTGTCCAGGATTCAACTAGGGTGGCTGGAGACTTTACCAGCCATACTTCAAAGTGATAACCTAGGCGGCTAACAGGGATTACAAAAGACTCTACCCTATCAGCGTGCCTGCCCTAAAGTGCTGGCCACCTCAGCCAATCCACCACAGGCAAGTGTGACAACAAAGTCAAAGACACGTACTAAACAGATAGTTAGATGTCCAAGAAAAACACCACTGCGACTAGTCCCCAGGCTCAAGGTAATTCTGAGAGCATCCAGACACATGCGAGTCAAACGGGGCAGCCTGATCTCACTACATACAAAATTTGTCGCAGTTCAACCAATCATGTGAGTGCATCTTCACATTCTTACTATCGGCTTGTTGACGGTTTGAGCTTTTACAGAACGTACTTGGTCCCGATGCGGCTAAATTTATATTGGGCCACAGAGATCTGGCCACTACTCTTACTGAGGACTATATCCCTGGCGAAGTGATGGTCCCACACACCTCGTAGATATCCTGTACTTGCTTGAGCTTACACAGGTGTTTTAGTTGATTTAAATTATGAATATAAACAGCTACATGTTTTTGTTGAACTAAGTCGTAATATTCAAACATATCATAAATTATTTTACAACGTTTAAACTTGGCAGGTAGGCAGAGCCACATTTGTAGGGGTGTTTTTGGCTTGGGCAGTTCTGATTCTGACTATGAGCATGCTCGGTTCAATCAAATGCAAAAGAAAAGACTGTATATATGTTTTGAGCTTACCTTTGAGCGCATCCAGCTCATGCGAGAGCCAGTTCATGTCCACCAAGTTGGAAGTCACTGTCTTGGGCCTATAGTGCTCAAAATACAAGTAGACCCTTGTGTGCGTGATTGATCTTCACACATGTCCACATATTCTTTATGCATGTCCATTTCAACTTCTGGTTTGCCCGTAACCCTTGCTCCTCAATACATATGACCACTCATGTTTTTAAGTTCATCACCCAAAATGTCTGAAATGCCACCCCTGGAGATCCCAACACAGAGCCTGAAAGACAGCCACGATCAACAGAAACTAGCTGAAGCTTGCTACTGGGTTGTTGACATGGTTAGTCGGGATGCTGAGAGTGTCCTCGCTGGGCAAATGAGTGGCTATTGGATATTACCTATATATGCTAATATGACCAGATTCCCCAAGCCCAAGTGCATGCCAGTCTTGCTCAGGCCTGGCTGGACAACTTGATGTCTACAGTTGACAAGCACACAAGTGACCCACAAATTACCCACCCAGCCAGCGTAGCAATCCTCCAAAAGCACGGGCTATACAAAAGACTGAATAACTGTGTTGCGGTGAGTGTATCTAGATGTGTGCGGAGCAGAGTTTACCTTGAAACATGCAGGAGTTAATCCGCCCAGTATGATTGGAGTCCAATGCTACCAGCAGATCTTGTGTTCAGGGTAAAATCTAGCATTCTGGAACATAGCGTGTGCCTGCAAAATGTGCAGTGTGCTTGTGGTACCCCATCTGGCCATCCTATGCTATGTTGATATGGTTGTATAGCACCAATAGAGTTTAGTTGCTTACAATTCGTCTGCAACCCGAGTTCAAATGGCTGAACTGAAATGGTATATGCACATAGATAAATTAAATCCAGGATATCTGAGCGCCAAGTTCAGAAAGAAATGGTAAACCCGCTCAAAGACGAAGATCATTGAGTCGGGAGATATAATCTTGAAGCGCCTGGAGCGACACAAGGGCGTTGGTTTGAGACACGAGGGGTTTGATGGGCGCCGCGACCACCATGTTGGATGGCGCCTGGAAGTCAGCGTTGTCCCGCTCATTGTCATAGAGGGTTCCCTCTCGTGCATCAGATATCTATGATATGAATTGAGACTGATGGGCACAAGCGGAGGACGCGGGAAGGCAAAGTGTAAACGCGTCAATATTTGTGGCTACCACACAAGTGGCTCACGTGACTTGATAGCTGTTTAACCACCCAGTCAACCTGTACGGAAAAGACCAGCGGCCCACGATCTGTCACAAAGACTAACCTGCTGCCTCTTTTGATGGCTTCTCATCAGTTCTCTACTACACCTAGACGTCAATGACGTGCGCTGAGCATATTGACAACAAATGGTTGATTATGCTTTTTGCGTCTTTGGGGTTGGTCACTATCTCGTTTATGAGTTTGAGGCAGTTCAAGAAGTGGTGGGTTGGATTGGGTTTTTGCAGGTGAGCGCACCTGCATAAAGCATGGGTCAAGAAAGACTCGGATGAAGCGGCCCTTGTTTCTTGTTGGCCGTTGTCACGGCTTTGTCACTCGCTAATTCTGTAAGTCCATCTGGTTGGGTGTAGAATTTAAGACACGGGTTTGTGAACTCACAATTTTAGCCACCATCCAAGGCCACTTGGCAAATTGGTTGACCCTTTCGAGTTTTGCCACAAGGCATAATATGAGCCGATAGACAAAACACAAGTTCATGAACTTGCATTTCCCTCGGCCGCTTTGATTTGACCTGAGTGAGGGCCATGTCCGTCAACCCTTTTTACAGCTTGTAACCGTATTTTTGAAACTTAACACAACGTGAGTTCATGATCTCGCAATCTAGTACCTGTCATTGCAAGCCAATTGACTCACCAGTGTATGCGTCACAAAATGCGAGTTCTCAAACCCGCGTTCGTTGTGGTCCCCTGTTTCGACACGGTCCAAGGACTGGACGACAACCAACAAATAATGTCTGTCTGGGGACGCGAATAGCCTACCACACGCTCCACTGTTACTCAAGGTGTTGGGTCAACTTTGAATCCAGCAGGACTTTCTAGAGCTGCTGCAATAATGGCTGTTACTACCATTGCTGCTGCACCAAGTTGGCCTTCCCCTGCGCCTTCTCTTGATAATGCCCGTTGATCATTGCTTGATACAGCAATTGGCCGTTGCCAGCTGGCCGGGACCCTTGCACGGGCCAGTACAACTATCCGCCCAACACATGCCCAGTCCCAGCCCACAAAGTTATGTTCGCCCAAATCCTTGATGCAAGCCAACACTTTTATTCAACCAGGAACCGGTCCATTTGCATCTTGATCTCCCGAACCACTCACACTCTTTCAGTTCCGGTCTCCAGAACACATCAACCCTGGTCCTGCACACGGGATGAGTCTATACCAACCGGCTCTAAAAGTAACCTCACCTCCGGTTGTAGACTCCATCTATGAGTTGTACACATAGAATGGTCGTGATCGTGCGCTGTTGAGGTCTGGGTCCCATAGTCGGACAAAGTTATCCGAGTCGGGCGCCAAGTCAGTATTGTTCAACATGCGCCTTTGCTTCTTGGCCGAGCTTGGTGTTCCGTTTGAAGACAATGGTGCTTATGTTGTTGTTTGCGTAAGTCCTAACCAGCAATAACCTATAATAGTGATACTCATCTCTGGCTTAGCAAGTTGCAATGCCCACCTCAACAGTTCTATGATGGTCTTGGCCATTTTGAATGTTCGGATGTTCATGCGAGGTGGCAAAAGATTTGATTGTCCAGCTAAACGGATGAGTAGCGGGCATGGTGACAAATTACAACCTCGTTGTGCTTAATTAACATGTATGCGTTCTAATTTAACATGTCATTCCAGTGGGAATAAAATTACATGACTCTTCTTCCGAGCATTCAGTAAAAAGTATAATGCCAGGCATGGAGGTGAAAATAAAAATTACACTTCTTCTTTGTCGTCTTCTTCCTCTACTACCACCTCTGCGTTAGTCGCACCAACAAGGACCTTCCGCAACTTTGCCTTTAGTAGAGTCAAATCACCACACAAGGCACCAAGCGCAGCCCACAAGAGTGCACGACGATGACTTTCAGTTTGACTCAAGCAGTTGTTGCCTTTGAGTTTGTCTCCAATAAACTCAAGACTCTTCATCGCATCCGCACCAACACGCGAGTTTTAAAAATACCGATATTCAAGCGCAGGGTGAAAGATGACAATAACCCCAAACTGGTTGATTGTTAGCTCAACAATCAACTATGATCGCAGCTACTCACCAGCTTGAATGTGGCCAACAAGCGGTTTGCGCCCTTGACATGCTTACAAACCTCACTCTTGAATGTCTTGAATTCCTTTGATTTTTTCGTTGTTGGAGACAACTTCACATCCTTGCTCCCAAGAAACAATTGTTGGAGTACATGCGTCTTCTTAGTTTTCCCTCCATCTCCATTGTATTCATTCCACTGGGTGGCAAATCCAAGGATGTGTGCCTTTTGTGCAATCTCCTTTAACCACCAGGAACTATCACGCTTGCTTGAGGGGCCCATGGTCAAGCCCTGTGGCAATAGTTAGCTTGTGCATAATTGTAACAGTCGCACACACCTGGTATGTTTTGTGCAGACTATCAAACCCTTTCTCTGTATTTATAGCTGTGATGGAGTTGGTGACTTGGTCATCGGACAACTCTCCTGTCTGTTGCTTGATACTGGCCGACTGGGAACGTGTTAGTTGGTGGATATGAAGTATCAATCCACTCACCAGCTCATCAATAGGAAACACCATTCAAGACAAGGCATGACGAAATCCAAGCATGATGGCTTTGGCGCCACTCTTTGGAGGAGTATTCAGGACTTCAATCAATTCGGCCACTGTGAGCTGATGGACATGCGCCTCATCAAAAACCTTGTCAGCGTGGGATTTGCCTGGATGTATCTCTTCTCTTGGTATCTAACATGATGTCAGAGTAAACAAATATATAAATATTGGTAACATACCTGGTGTTTGTCTGCCAGTCTGAGCAAATCATCTTCATCCAATGAAGCAAAGTACTCCAGCCACCTTCGCTGAGCTTCTCGACGATGCTCTTGCCTATCTTGGGTCTTGTACTTGTTTTGCACTTCGTATTGGCGTTTCTGAGCATTGTCATGGCGTGCTTTGAGGAGCTCAAAGGCCAACTT